TTCTCTCACCCTCCCACGCTTCTGACTGTACCCAGTGCTTGTATAAACAAAACAAACAAACAAACAAATAAATAAATAAAATAAAACATGCCTCTATTAAAAAAAAATAAAAAAAACAATCTTTAAAAAAAAATCCTTTACCTGGCAAATTGATGGATAGACAGATAGTTTTCCAGACCTGCAAAAGGAGTTCATCACCACTAACTGACCTTACGAGTAATGTTAAAGAAAAAAAAATTAAAGAAGTGTCAAAGGGACTTCTTAAAGCTGAAAAGAAATAGCTCTAGGGCCTCCCTGGTGGCGCAGCAAGTTGAGCACAGCGCTGTGAAGCTGTCCACAGCCTCTGCAGAGCCGGTTTGATTCCTGGCCGGCCAGGGAGATAACCACATCGTGTGGCAGACCTCTCTTGTCTTGCCCACTGCTCCTCTCAGAGGCGCTTTCAGTCCGTCTGTTTGTTCTGCTTCCCACTCTGTCTCTGGTGAATCCTCTCTCCCTTCTGTGCCTCTGGCCTGTACCCAAGTTCTTGTATAAATAAATAAATCTTAAAAAAAAAAAAGTTCTAAATGAGTAACAAGACAACATTTGAAGGAAAAAAATCTCAGTAGTAAAAAGAACTGTATAGCAAAGGTAATAGATTAATCCTTATAAAATAAGTGACAGTTATATGACACAAATAATAAATTAATTATAACTACCATAATTTGATAAGAGATATACCAAATTTTAAAATTGCAAAATGTGACATCAAAAGCATAAAATACTGTGAAGAGGTGGCCCTTCTTCCATGCCTAAGGGGACGATGCCACTAGGATGAGCTCATGAGGTTTTTGATAAAAAATAGTCATGAGACAGAAACAATCAAATTACAGATGGAATACAGAACCGTGGAACAATCACAGGAGAAGATGTCCACACAAATACATTTCTTTCTTTCTTTTTTTTAAAGATTTATTTATTTATGCACACAAGAACTGGGGTACAGGCCAGAAGTGTGGTAGGTGAGAGGATTCACCAGAGACAGAGTGGGGAACAGAACAGGCGGACTGACTGAAATACACTGCTGAGGGGAGCAGCGGGCAAGTTAGGAGGGGTCTGCTGCACCATGTGGGTATCTCCCTGGCCAGGAATTGAACCCATGCTGCAGTGGCTGTGGATCGCTTCATAGGTTGCGTCCTAATCCTTTGCGCCACCAGAGAGGCCCCCAAATATATTTCTTTTTTTTTTTTTTTTTTTCCTTCTTGATGAGAAGTACAAAAAGGCTGACTGTGGCGACCAATGGTTACTCCAGGCAAAGCAACAAGGAGAACATTTTCAGTGTGTTCTAAAATGTTTGGTATAGAAAGCTATACAGTAAAATTCAGAGCAGGGAGTGAATTGTCTTTTTTTTTTTTTTTTTAAATACCCCCAAATATATTTCTTAAAGCTGTTAAAATGACCCAGAAGAACAGAGAACTTGTGTAACTGGAAACACTGAGTACTTGAGGAAATAACATCCGATATTTTATTCTGCCAAATAGATTACCTCTGGATACACTACTCCTGCACGTTGAACCAAAGGTTAAATCTAAAAAAAGGGAAGCTGTTGCAGGAAAAGGAAGAAGAAGAGAGGGTCCAGGCAATAATGTCTCTTAAGATTACTGTTTCAAAGTGATATGTGATTTGGGAATTTTTGGTACAGGTTTTGTTTGTTTATGTCAGTTTTTAATAAATGTAAGTGTAGGGCCAAAAAAAAAAAAAGGTCAATGTCAAGGTCCACAAGTCTGTCTGACCTGTGATACTAAAGGTTACTCTGTTGCCCATCCTATTACTTCTAAAGAGATCAAGGACAAGTTGTTCAAAGAGAGAAAAGTCTTTGTGGGCACCAAAGGAATTCCTCAGCTGGTCACCTATGAGGCTCATACCATCTTCTATCCTGATCTCCTCTTTAAGATGAACCCCATTCAGATTAATCTGGAGAATGGAAAGACTGCTGATTTTATCAAGTTTCTCCATGCCCTGCTGAGGTGCTAACCTGGCAGAAACTGGTGTGACCATCAATAGAGACAGACACACTCTGTGGTACACAACAAATCATTTAATGACTAATTCCACAGAATATATTCACGCATATAAAGCAAATATTAAAGGGAGAAATTGACAGCAATATAAGATAACAGAACTTTACTACCCTACTCATATCTATGGACAGATCATCGGACAGAAAATCAACAAGGAAACATCAGCCTTAAACAACATATTAGAGTAGATGGTCTTAATAGATATATACAGAACATTCCATCCGAAAGAAGAATACAGGGCGACCCTGGTGGCACAGCGGGTTGAGCGCAGCACTGTGAAGCTGTCCGCAGACTCTGCAATGCGGGTTTGATTCCTGGCTGGCCAGGGAGATACCCACATGGCACGGCAGACCTCTTCTGTCTTGCCCGCTGCTCCCCTCAGCAGTGTTTTTGGTCTATCTTCCTGTACTGCTTCCCGCTCTGTCTCTGGTGAATTCTCTCACACTCCCGCGCCTCTGGCCTGTACCCCCCATTATTGTATAAATAAATAAATCTTAAAAAAAAAAAGAATACACATTCTTCTTAAGTATACCAGGGACACTCTCCAGAATAGATCCCATGTTAGACTACAAAATAAGTTTCAATCAATTCAAGAAGCTTGAGTTCATAACAACCATCTTTTCTGACCATGATGGTATGAAACTAGAAATAAATTAAAAGTGGAAAATAGGGGCCTCCCTGGTGGCACAAGAGGCTAAGTCGAAGCACTATGAAGCTATCTGCAGCCACTGCAGCACAAATTTAATCCCCAGCCAGGGAGGTGACCCACATGGTGCAGCAGACCTCTCCTGTCTTGCCCGCTGCCCCCCTCAGCAGTGCATTTCAGTGGATCCACCTGTCCTGCTCCCAACTCTCTCTCTGGTGAATCCTCTCACCCCCTGCACCTCTGACCTGCACCCTGGCTCTTGTATGCATAAATAAATTAACCTTTAAAAAAAATGGAAAGTGGAAAATGGCCTCCTTGGTAGCGCAGGGGTTAAAGTCTCAGTGCTATCAGGCTATCACCAGGCACTGCAACATGACTTAGATCCAGGCCAGGGAGCTAACCCACATGGCACAGCAGACCTCTCCTATCTCTCCCACTGGTGTATTTCAGTGGATCTGCCTGTTATGCTCCCCACTCTGTCTCTGATGAATCCTTTCATTGCCTGCACCTCTGGCCTACAACCCAGTTCTTGTATGCATAAACACATAAAATAAATCTTTGTTTTTTTAAAGATTTATTTATTTATTTATACAAGCACTGGGTACAGTCAGAAGCGTGGGAGGGCGAGAGAATTCACCAGAGCCAGAGCAGGGAACAGAACAGGCAGAATGACAAAATACACTGCTGAGGGGAGCAGCGGGAGTCGCAGGAGAGGTCTGCGCACCATGTGGGACCCTTGCCGGTGGCTGGGGATCAAACCAGCTGCAGAGGCTGCGGGCAGCTTTGCAGCCCAAAGCTCAACCACTGTGCCACCAGGGGAGGCCCCAATAAATCTTTATTTTTAAAATTTTTTAAAGGATTTATTAAAATAAACCTTAAAAAAAGTGGAAAAATTTCATGTGTCACCTCCTTCTCTGATCTCCTGTCTATGGTTCCCTATTCATTCTCTATCACACACACCTAGCCCCCAGCTGCTGGTTCAGTTGCCTTCTGCACCCCCATTCTCACCAGGGATCTTGATTTTTGTTTTTATGTTGTTTGCCTCTCTGTCCTCCCTAGAAAGAGAGCAGTGAAGTGGAGTGGCTTTGTCTATTTCTCAGTCTATAGAACAACAGCTGGTAGAACCATACTTATATCAGACAAAATAGACTTTATTTATTTATTTTTTTTATAGAGGCATGTTATTTATTTATTTATTTATTTGTATGTTTTGTTTTTTGTTTATACATGCACTGGGTACAGTCAGAAGTGCAGGAGGGTGAGAGAATTCACCAGAGCCAGAGCGGGGAGCAGAGCAGGCAGAAAGACCGAAGTACACTGCTGAGGGGAGCAGCGGGCGGCAGGAGAGAGGTCTGTGCGCCATGTGGGACCCTCCTCCGGTGGCTGGGGAGCAGCCTGGGATCGAACCGGCGCTGCAGAGGCCGCGGGCAGCTTCGCAACCCAGCGCTCAACCGCTGCGCCACTGGGAGGCCCCAAAATAGACTTTAAAACAAAGGCTGTAATAAGAGAAAGAAGGACATTATATGGTAATAAAGGTGTCCATCAAGATGTAAAGAGGATATAATAATTCCAAATATATATATGCACCCAACATTAGGAGTTCCTAAATAGAACCACCTAGTGAATAATCAACCATCACCATAATGAAAACAGTTTTCATGTCTGCTCCAGCACACAGTTGGTGTACAATAAATGTTGAATGGCAATTATAATAATTATAGTATAATAATGTCTATATTTTCAACACTTTGTTAATATCTTAGTGTCACATAGCAGGAGCTTGTAAATGTTTTTGGAATAATAACACTAGGAATAAAAATAGAAGCAACTATGTTTGTCCTGTTCAGAGTCCTTTCCATAGTTCCTGAAAGAATTTACTAATGAGTATTTGAGTAAAAGGATAAATCAAGTGGTAAATATATATTGTATGAATGAATAAATGAATGAATGAATGAAACAGATAGTATTGAGTACCCAGTGCTGGGCACTCAATGTGGACACGTGTATGCACACAGACCTTGACCTATGGGCCTCACAAACTCCTGGGAAAGACAGGAAAAACGGATGGATGGATGGATGGATGGATGGAGGGATGGATGGATGGATGGAGGGATGGATGTTTGGGATCTCCCCATCAGCACACAAGTGTGCAAAGGTAAAATGAGGCGGGGCAGCAATTCCACTCCAAACCCCGCCCCTCTTAGTCCCGCCCTGGTCTTTGTGTCGGCGGACCGCAGCACTCACCTGACGGCCTCTCCTTTAAGACGTGCTCACCTGGGCCCTCACCTGCACTCTGGGCTTCCGCAGGAAGAAGGAAGCGGCACCGCTGTCGCCTCCTGGCCCTCCCTCCTAGGTCCGCCTGGCTCCACCATGTCCGCCTCGGCTGTCTTCATCCTGGATGTCAAGGGCAAGGTGAGGTTGGCGGGGTTCGGTGGATATATAGGTAAGGCTGTGCTCTCCCGGATCTAGGGGCGGCCCTGCCTCGCCGGTAGGGAGGCCCCAGAAAGCCATGGGGGGCGTGGCAACACCCCTCCCCCACCCCCTGGGAGTCCAGGCTGTGATCCCACCTGCCCTGTTTACTGGCCGTGTGTCTGCGGAAAAGGGGCTTCACTTCTCTGAACCTCAATCTACCTATCCTTTAAAAAGGGGGTAACAGTGGTCCTCACCCAATAAGAATTAATAGTCCTCGATGCTTGTAAACTACTTGGCCCAGGAGCCCTGCTCCAAACATTTCAATCAACTGAAATTGTTCTTTTTATTCCCTTCACACTCCACAGTATTAATATATGGGGAAGATATCAGGGGCAAGAGACCTTTGGGGGCTGCCTTATCCCTTTCTGAAATCTGTCATTTGCTTTGTCTTTTATTTTATTTTTTAAAAGATTTATTTATGTATGCATACAAGAACTGGGGTGTAAGCCAGAGGTGCGGGGGGTGGGGGGGGGTGAGAGGATTCACCAGGGAGAGTGGGGAGCAGAACAGGCACATCTACTGAAATACATTACTGAGGGGAGCAGCAGGCAAGGCAGGAGAGGTCTGCTGCGCCATGTGGGGTGCTCCCCTGGCCTGCCAGCTGCTGATAGCTTCATAGTGTTGCGCTTAACCCCTTGCGCCACTAGGGAGGCCCTGACCAGATAATTCTTATCTGCTTGATGTCCATGTGTTGTAATCGAAACCAGATCCCAGACCCCCAGCCATGGTTCCAATCTTATCAACAAGGCATTCCACTGATCAACTTCCATGGTCTCTTGTCATGTATCAGTCAATGGCCCCCCCAGGCGTTTCCGATCATACCTTATAATGCATACCCTTCCCGGGGTGATCAGGCTTTCTGCTCTTTTTTTTTTTTTTTTTTTTAAGATTTATTTATGCATACAAGAGCTGGGGTACAGGCCAGAGATGCAGTGGGTGAGAGGACCCACCAGAGACAGAGTGGGGAACAGAACAGGCAGACTGACTGAAATACACTGTTGAGGAGAGCAGTGGGCGAGTCAGGAGAGGTCTGCTGCACCATGTGGGTTGCTCCCTGGCCGGCTGGGGATCGAACTCATGCTGCAGAGGCTGCGAATTGCTTCATAGTGCGGTGCTTTAACCCCTTGCACCACCAGGAAGGCCCAAGCTTTCTGCTTTTGATTGAATTGTAAGGTGCCTTGTAAGGTTGGGCACCTATAACTGATTGACTAGGCAGTTCTGACCTTGTATAGGAATGAGGAACTGCAGGGCTTCCCCGTGGCGCAACAGGTTGAGTGCTGTGCTGTGAAGCTGTTTGCAGCCTCCATGATGCGAGTTCGATCCTGGCTGGCTGGCTGGCGAGAATCCCACATGGTGCCACAGACCTCTCCTGTTATGCCCACTGCTCCCCTCAGCAATGTATTTCTGTTGTCTGCCTATTGTGTTCCCAACTCTGTCTCTGGTGAATCCTCTCACCCTCCCGTGCCTCTGGCCTGTACCAAAGCTCTTGTATAAAAAGAAAAATAAAATCTTGGAAAAAAAAAAAAAAAGGAATGCAGAACTGCAGGTAAGAAATGGTGGCCGGGGCCTCCCCGGTGGTGGAGCCGTTGAGCGCTGGGTTGCGAAGCTGCCTGCAGCCTCTGCAGCGCCGGTTCAATCCCCAGCCGCCAGGGGAGGGTCCCACATGGCGCGCAGACCTCTCCTGCGTCCCGCTGCTCCCCTCAGCAGTGTACTTCGGTCCTTCTGCCTGCTCTGCTTCCTGCTCTGGCTCTGGTGGGTTCTCTCACCCTCCCGCGCTTCTGGCTGTACCCAGTGTTGTATAAATAAATAAATCTTTAAAAAAAATAATAAAGTTGATTAAAAAAAAAAAGAGAGATGGTGGCCGGGCCTCCATGGTGGTACAAGGGTTAAAATCTCAGCACTATGAAACTGTCAGCAGCCACTGTGGCCTGAGTTCAGTCCCTGGCCAGGGAGCTGACCCACATGGCACAGCAGACCTCTCCTGTCTCATCCACTGCTCCCCTCAGCAATGTATTTCAGTAGATCTGCCCATTCTGCTCCCGACTCTGTCTCTGGTGAATCTTCTCACCCCCCTCCACCTCTGGCCTACAGCCCAGTTCTTGTATGCATAAATAAATTAAATAAATCTTAAAAAAAAAAAAAACTTAAAAAAAAAGGAAAAATGGTGGCTGAACAGGCCACTTAAGTCTAGCAAACCCACAATACCTCAGTTTCCTCATTTGTGGAATAAAGAGGATATCACTACTCACAGCCCTCAGAGAGGGCTCTAGACATATTAGCTGTTGTTAATCACTCACCCATTTTGCAGAGGACAAAACTGAGGTACCAAAAGGTGGAGCCTTGGGCCTCCCTGGTGTTAAACCCCCAGGGGTTAAAGTCAGCACTATCAAGCTATTGCCAGCCAGTGCAGCAAGAGTTCAATCCCCGGCCAGGCATCTACCCACATGGCGCAGCAGACCTCTCCTGTCTCGCCTGCTTCTCCCCTCTGCAGTGTATTTCAGTAGATCTGCCTGTTCTGGTCCCCACTCTGTCTCTGGTGAATCCTCTCACCTCCCGCACCTCTGGCCTACACTCCAGTTCTTGTATGCAAAAATAAATAAATCTTTAAAAATAAAAAAAAGGTGGAGCCTTGCCCAGACCCCTCAACCAGGAAGCAGCAGAGTGATACGCAGGCACTCTGATGCTCTTGAGTGGAGGGTATGCAAGTGGAGCAGTGACCAATGCTTCTCTGCTCCCCCTTAGCCCCTCATCAGCCGCAACTACAAGGGTGACATTCCCATGAGTGAGATTGAATACTTCATGCCTCTGCTCATGCAGCGGGAGGAAGAGGGTGCCCTGGCACCACTGCTGAGTCATGGCCGGGTCCACTTCTTGTGGATCAAACATAGCAACCTCTACTGTATCCTTCCCAGGTGGAATCCCTGGGGGCATGGAGTAGCAAAAGCTTGGGTCCAGAGGGGTGGGCTGAGATAGGTATTGCACAGCATATCAGAGGGGTAGGAGGGAGGGTGGATAGACATGGGGGTGGTGGCAGGGGACTGGATACGGTATGTGGGGAGGGGGTATGTCTGTTGGGGTCTGTGCTCTATTTGTATGCTCCAAAATGGTGCCTTTTCCTTAACTTCAATGCCTGCAGTGGTGGCCACCACGCTGAAGAATGCCAATGCCTCCCTGGTGTACTCATTCCTCTACAAGACAGTAGAGGTAGGTCTTGGCCTCCTGTTAGCCGGTTGGTCTGTTTGTCCACCTGCCTTGCCTTCCTCTTTCAGGATTCCTTTCTCCTGGGAACCATTTCCTGACTCCTCTGGGCATGCCTCGGGGTTTACAGCTGCCAGCGCTGCCCCCATCAAAACCCCATCACTCTGTGTTCTCATTAGCTGCCATTAGATCATCTCTCCCTGCAGGGCAAGGACCAAAGAGGTCTCCAAAGGGTATATGGCTCAAATCAAAACCCAAGGGAACTGGGCTTCCATCCCAGCACCCTCATTTCCTAGCTGTGTCACCTTGAGCTAGTCATTGGTCATCTTTGTTCCTCTAAACTGGGAGTGGTAAGTTCTGCCTCAAATTCATATCTCTGAAGTGCCTATAACAGTGCTCAGTATACAGTAAGTGTTTAATAAAGGTTTGTGATTATTAGCACTCTCACTCAAGTTATGAAATCACAATTTATTGTTTGCTTACTATATGCCAGTCTGTATGTCTGAGAGAGTGCTCAGTGAATACTATTCAACAAACAAGAAATATTTACTGATTCGTCTCCTTCTTGTGGGAAAGGAAAGAAGAGAGACATCATCCCTGCCTATCCTGAGCAGTTACAGGGCATGAAGATGAAATAGGACATTATGATAACTAATTACTGGGCACTAGTCACCATGATACTTGGAGGAAGGGGCAGAGGGAGGTGACACTTGAGTGATAAGGAGCTTTTAGAAGTGTGTTCCAGGCAAAGGGAACAGCAAAAGCAAAAGCCCTGTGGTAGGACAAGAAAGAAAGCCAGTGAGGGCTTCCCTGGTGGTGCAAAGGGTTAAGTCTCAGCACTGTGAAGCAATCTGCAGCCACTGCAGCATGAGTTCAATCCCCAGCTGGGGAGCTGACCCACATGGCACAGCAGACCTCTCCAGTCTCTCCCGCTGCCCCCGTCAGCAGTGTGTTTCAGTGGATCTGCCTGTTCTGTTCCCCACTCTGTCTCTGGTGAATCCTCTCACCTCCTGCACATCTGACCTCAGCTCTTGTATGCATAAATAAATAAATCTTAAAAAAAAAAAAAGAAAGAAAGCCAGTGGGATGGAGCAGAACAAGGGACAGAAGGTGCTCTAAATGTAGGATGAGTGGTAGATTCTCTGCTAATCCCCAGGAACTCCAACCAAAGGTTTATGGGCTTCCTGAAGGAAGTCTGTGAGCTTAGATTTATTTTTGCCTAGCAAGTTTCCTTTGCTATCCTGTGTATTTTATTTTATGTAATTATAAACCTTATTCTGTGGGGGGCCATCCACATCACCAAATACACATGGTCTACAAAAAATGTTGTGAGCCCTTCCACTCCCTCCTCTAGGAAGTCTTACTCGACCTTACTACTTCTAGAAGGGCTCCGACTTCATTTGTGTTTTCTTGCTTATTGCACCCAGCATGTTGGCTTATATTGGTTCCATTACCAGTCCATTTTCCCCAGGGCAGGACCCTGCCTGCTTTGATCACCATGAATGTCCTGACACCAACATGTAGTAGGTGCACCACAGTTGCTTTCTGGATGACTGGCTGAGTGGGAATGTAGCCCATGTCCACAGTTACACTAGTTATACTTCTGAGGGTGTTTCTTTCCCTCCTGGCTTCCAGGTATTCTCTGAGTACTTCAAGGAGTTGGAAGAGGAGAGCATTCGAGACAATTTTGTCATAGTCTATGAGCTGCTGGATGAGCTCATGGACTTCGGCTTCCCACAGACCACTGACAGCAAGATCCTGCAGGAGTGAGTGGGCTGTGGGGCAGCCATGTGTGGGTAATGGGTGGTAAGAAGTTGAGGTGTTCTGGGTCCAGCTGCTTGTTCGCCCTGCTTTCCTGCTCCTGCCAGGTACATCACCCAGCAGGGCAACAAGCTGGAGACTGGAAGGTCACGCGTGCCACCCACTGTCACCAATGCTGTGTCTTGGCGCTCTGAGGGCATCAAGTACAAGAAAAACGAGGTCTTTATTGATGTCATAGAGTCAGTCAACCTGCTGGTGAGTCTCCACCTTTCTGCTCTACCCCTGCCAAGGCCTCTGGTCAGGAGAGGGGCACCTATCCTTGCTGACCCCTATGTGTGCATCCTCAGGTCAATGCCAATGGCAGCGTCCTGCTGAGTGAGATTGTGGGTACCATCAAGCTCAAGGTGTTTTTGTCTGGAATGCCAGAGCTACGGCTGGGCCTCAATGACCGTGTGCTCTTCGAACTCACTGGCCGTAAGCTCCTGGAGAGGGCCACCCTTGGGAGTGGGGGACTGCACTCATCTGGAGACCCAGAAAATTGCTGGGGGTTCTGAAATAAGAGCTTGCACGCCCTCTTCTGGGTAGACCCAAAACTGAGGCTACTGGCTCACTAAGCAAAGGCTGCTGCATTATTGAGTGTCTCCCAAGCAGAAAGCAATCCCTCACTTCATAGAGCTGACATTCTGGTGCGAGTAGGAGATAGAATAATATCACACTTGAGAATCTGACTGTGAGCCAGATTGCCTGGGCTCAGATCCTGGCTCTGCCCCGACCAACTGGGTGACTCTGGGTAATTTGCTCATCCACTGAATCTGTTTCCTCATCAGCAAAATGAGGTTATAGTAGCAATAGGTGGAGAAGGTATGGGTAGGAAATCTGCCCCAGCCCCCAGGGTCACCCTACTTGGTCCGCTCCGAGTTTCAGGGAGCAAGAACAAGTCTGTGGAGCTGGAAGATGTGAAATTCCACCAGTGTGTGCGTCTCTCTCGCTTTGACAATGACCGCACCATCTCTTTCATCCCGCCTGATGGTGACTTTGAGCTCATGTCCTACCGCCTCAGCACCCAGGTAAGGCAAAGTCAAACCACACCTAGTAGGAGGGGAGATCTGACTCCAGGTGCTCCAAGAACTCTTTTCCTTTACCTTCAATCCAGGTGAAGCCACTGATCTGGATCGAGTCCGTCATTGAGAAGTTCTCCCACAGCCGTGTGGAGATCATGGTCAAGGTGAGTCTGGGCGAACACTGACTGCGCTTATCTGTTGCCAATCACCCAGCAATACAACCTCTTTTCCCACCTCCCTCTTGGCTCCTCATAGTCTTCCAGCCACATTGGTCTCCTGGCTGGTTCTCAAATATGCCAAGCATGGCCCCCTCTCCACTGCGGGGCTTTTCTTCCTTCTCTCTGGGCCTCTCTGCCTGCAGCTGTGCCCAAGGCTCCCTCCCTTCCTCGATTCTACAGCCCTTGTTTCTACTCCTCCTTCCACTCCCCCTTATTTTTCTTCAAAGCCCCTTTTAACTCATGGATTTTTTCCCCCACAGTCTTTTCCCCAGTGTCAAGTCATAGTAGGTTCTCAGCAGTGCTTTAAACAATGGAAGCTGCATTAAATATTCATATTATGATTTTTTTTAAAGATTTATTTATTTATGCATACAAGAGCTAGGTTACAGGCCAGAGGTGCAGGGGGTGAGAAGATTCACCAGAGACAGAGTGGGGAGCAGAACAGGCAGATTGACTGAAATACACTGCTGAGGGGAGCAGTGGGTGAGTCCGGAGAGATCTGCTGTTCCATGTGGGTCACTTACCTGGCCGGGGATCGAACTCGTGCCGCAGTGGCTGCAGCTAGCTTCATAGTGCTTTGTCTTAACCCGTTGTGCCACCAGGGAGGCCCCTCATATAATGATTTTAATAGAGCTTCTACTCTGTAGAGAAACTAAGGGACATGAGGGAAGAAAACCAAGTTATATCTGCTGCCCTCAAGGAGCTTAGTTGGGGAGACAGACAAACCGTCAGTGAATACAGTCATAGCTGAGCCTTGGACAACCCCAGGAGTAAAGGGAGCCAACCCCCACATGGCTGCAACTCTGCACATAACTTTTGACACTTCCAAAATTTAACCATTAATAGCTTGTTGTTAACTTTATCAAGAACCTTAATAATTAACACATATTTCATATGTTCTTTGTATTAGAACCATTTTCTTATAATAAGGCAAACTGGAGAAAAGAAATTGTTATTCAAAATCATAAGAGCGGTTCTTCCTAGTGGCACAAGGGGTTAAGACACAACCTATGAAGCTATCCACAGCCTCTGTAGCACGAGTTCAATGCCCGGCCAGCCAGGGAGCTACCCACATGGCGCAGCAGAACTCTCCTGTCTCGCCTACCACTCCCCTCAGCAGTGTATTTCAGTCAATCTGCCTTTTCTGTTCCCCACTCTGTCTCTTGCACCTCTGGCCCGTACCCCAGTTCTTGTATGCATAAATAAATAAATCTTTAAAAAAAAATCATAAGAGCAATCATGGGTTTCAGCACAAAAAAATCATACGACAAAATACATTTACTGTTCTGTACTGTATTTATGGATAACTTCAGTTTATATTTGCTTTTTTTTTTTTTTTAAGATTTATTTATACATACAAGAACTGGGGTACAAGTCAGAGGCACAGGAGGGTGAGAGAATTCACCAGAGAAAGTGGGGAGCAGAACAGGAAGACACACTGAAGACACTGTTGAGGGGAGCAGTGGGTGAGGCAGGAGAGGTCTGCCGCGCCATGTGGATTTCTCCCTGGCTGACTGGGAATCAAACCCTCATTGCAGAGGCTGCGGACAGCTTCACAGTGCAGCACTCAACCTGCTGCACCACCGGGGAGGCTCTATATTTGCTGTTTATAAGAAAATCCATATGTAAGTGGATCTTAGCAATTCAAGCCTTTGTTGTTCAAGGGTCATGTATGTATTGTCAGCATAGTCATCAAGATAAAATCCATAATCTGCCTCTACCCTGGTCAGCCCCATCATTGCTTATCTGTACCCATTCTTTCCCTCTGTCTGGATCTCCCAGCTCCAGACTTTACCTCCACAGAAGGCGCCTGTGAGTACTTCTGTGCAGACTTGTCCCTGCTTTGTCCAGAACTCTCCTTGGCACCTAGCTGAGAGTAAAAGCCAAAGTCTTCCTGGCTGCCCACAAGGCCCTGCACAGTATGCCCTGTCAGCTCCCCACCTTTATTTCCTTCCATTGTCCCCCTCCTTTACCCCAACAATGCTGGCCTCCTGGCTGCTCCTGGAGCACACTAAAGAAGATCCTGGGCCTCCCCTGGTGGTGCAGTGGTTGAATGCTGGGCTGCGAAACTGCCCGCGGCCTCTGCAGTGCCGGTTCGATCCCCGGCCAGGGTGAGGGTCCCACAAGGCACACAGACCTCTCCTGCCGTGCCCGCTGCTCTCCTCAGCAGTGTGCTTCATCAGTCTGCCTGTTCTGTTCCCCGCTCTGGCTCTGGGGAATCCTCTCACCCTCCCGCGCTTCTGACTGTACCCAGTGCTTGTATAAATAAATAAATAAATCTTAAAGAAAAAAAAAAAAGTGCAAAAAAAAAAAAGATAGGATCTTCTTTTTTTTTTTAATATTTATTTATTTATACAAGCACTGGGTACAGTCAGAAGCGCGGGAGGGTGAGAGGATTCACCAGAGCCAGAGCAGGGAGCAGAGCAGGCAGAAGGACTGAAGTACACTGCTGAGGGGAGCAGCGGGCGGCAGGAGAGGTCTGCGTGCCATGCGGGACCCTCCTCCGGTGGCCGGGGAGCAGCCGGGGATCGAACCGGTGCTTAAGGGGCTGCGGGCAGCTTTGCAACCCAGCGCTCAACCACTGCGCCACTGGGGAGGCCCGAGAAGATCCTATCTTAGGGCCTTTGCGCTGGTTATTTCTGTTCTTTCCACTCTAACCCATCCACATGTTTGCTTAAATATTACCTCCTTGGAGAGGACTTTCCTGACTTCCCTATTGCAACCTCTATTTCAATTAATGTTACTTCAATTAAAAAAAAGTTTAAATAACAATGTCTACCATTCCTCACCATCCTTCTTTGCTCTTCCTGCCCCCATTACTTATTGCTATCCAATATGTGACCTGCTTTACTTATTTACTTTCAGAACAAACCTATATCTCTAAACTTATGGTGTATTTATATGGGTTACAGAATAATGATGAACCACCCAGCTTACTAGGACAGGTTGGACCAGAGCCTCCAAGTCCCATATGTCCCTCCTCCAATTTCTGCTTCCCCCTTTCCAAGAACTTTATGTAATTTATTTTGAATTTTACATAAAATATTTTTTTATTTATAATTTTGCCACCTACATGTACCATTGTAAATATTTTATTCTGCCAACTTCTGATTTGGGTTACAGTTTTTTGTATGATTTACTTTGTTCTTGTGATGCTTTTAATTTGAATCCCAGGAGCACTAATTCAGTGTACTCATCTATTTCTCCAGTTGAAGAACATTCCACAATGAGAATCTTCCACTCTTGTCCCTCTGCACCATGTTTTTTTCTCAATTTTTGGCTACTCTGTTTCACAGCCTTGTGCCTGTCTCCCAAATGCCCCAAGTAATAGCTTATCCAGAGCTTATAGTTACCCTTCTTATTTACAGATGAGGAAACTGAGGCCTAGACGAGTTAGGGTGTCACTCTTCCGGGGAGAATAGCATGCATGTCTGCCTGGCTCTCAAGAGTCTGTTCTTGGATTTGACTTTGTTCCCCCATCTTTGGGTCTCAGGGGCAGTGGGTAGTGGTCACCAGGGAGGATCTTAATGATCTTTAATGTTGCTTTCTCTGTAGGCAGGGACGGGACTGGAGCCATGAAAGCTGATGCCTTCCAGAAAGAGCACCCAACTCCCCTCTGGCTTACCTCCAGACCTTGTGTCTCTGATCCCACCTCTAAAATATCTCTTCCCAAATTATAAATTATAAATTCTATAAAATTATAGAAATAGTCATAATGCTTGCTACTGTACATGGAACATTTAGAAACCCTGGGTGTAAAGCCGAGGTTACAGCCCTAAGGTTGTAATTTATTACTTTATTTGTAAGGAGGGCATGTGATAATTGAGAATGCAGGCCTAGTTTGAATCCCTGCTATGCTGGTTACCTACAGCTGTGTGACTTCAGCAAAGCACCCTTTTTCTCTGTGCCTCAGTCTCATCTATAAAATGACCTTAGGAATAGATCCCACTTTAGGGAATTAGTGCGAGAGCTAAGTGCTTGGCCACAGGACCAGCACATGGTAGGGACAGACTCAGCAGATGCCTCTAGCAAATGAAAACTCCATGGTGATGGGCTGAAGGGTGTCATTTGGAACTAGGCAAGGGTATTTGACACTGTCCAAATGGAAGGCACCAAGAACAGGGCCTCTGGAGTCTTTTGTGGGTGGGGACTCTGGCTCTGTCACTGGTTGGCTGTGTGTCTCCAGGCCAATGTCTTAATTTCTCTGTCCCTCCATTTCCTCATCTGTAAAATTGACAGGATACATATCCCCACTCGTGGAGGTCTTGATGAGAGAGTGCTAGAAAAGGCTAGGTGAATATTTGTCAGATGCATGGAGGAATTCTTCATATCCCATGCTCTCTCCCTGCACAGGCCAAGGGGCAATTTAAGAAACAGTCAGTGGCCAATGGTGTGGAGATAGCTGTGCCCGTACCCAGCGACGCTGATTCCCCGCGCTTCAAGACCAGTGTGGGCAGTGCCAAGTATGTGCCCGAGAAGAACGTCGTAATTTGGAGTATTAAGTCTTTCCCGGTGAGCACTAGAGTTGGTTGCCGGGTCTTGGGGGACCTGCCCTTTCTGCCCAAGGGCATGGCAGAGAAGAAACCAGAGATCCACATACGTATGCACATGGTTATCCTTTGGGGGTTATAAAGTGGAATCCAGTTTAACCATCATGATAGTTCAACTCACCCACCCAGGTCTGAAGGAAACCGGTCTTGGCTTCTCACCCTTGTCTCTCTGAGCTTGGGAAACCTACCTGCCTTCATGGAGCCTTAATTTGTGAAATGATCAGGATCCTGTTACCCAAGTACTTGGGTGACTGGAGGATTTAGCCTGAACTTGGGATCTGGGGGACATGGGTGGTCATCAGCACCTGAAAAAAAGGAAAATAATCATTAAAAGCCACCAGACAAGGCTTTGCAGTCAGAAGCTACACCAGGGAGTTTGGGCCTTTGTTTCTTGTCTGTGAAATTGGCTGATTGCAGAGCTGGCTCTGGGTGCTGATGTGAGGATGATTTGGGGTAGATAGGAGTCCTTCCATGTGTCTGATGTCCCCATGTCCCTTCAGGGAGGCAAGGAGTACCTGATGCGTGCCCACTTTGGCCTTCCCAGCGTGGAGAAGGAGGAGGTGGAGGGCCGGCCCCCCATTGGGGTCAAGTTTGAGATCCCCTATTTCACTGTCTCTGGAATTCAGGTGAGGGAAGTTAGCAGGGTGACTCCACTCTTTGATTTCAGTGGGTTCTCCTCTTTCATGCTCCTTGGCTGGGTCACCTCCGTTCCCTGACCTGGGTTACCTCTCCTCTGCTGTCATCCTGTCTTTCCACTTCTCTCTTTTGCCTGTGACACCTTATTCCCCATTAAGTTATTCACTAGCTCTCCCACCCAAAAGCTGTTCACCATTCCCTTGACCTGTGCCACCTCATTCCCCTAAAACCATGTTATGGCTATTCTCTTACACTGTGCTGTTTCTTTTCTGGACCACATTCCATCCAGTCCCACTGCCCATGCCACATCTTTGTTCTAAGTCATATTATCTCATTACTCCCAGCCTGTGCCATCTTCTTCTCCCAAGTTGTTTATATTCCACAACTCTCTCCTGTGCCGCCCCCTGACCCCACTGAGCTCCCCAAGTCTGGGCTACTTCTTTCCATTCTCTTCCAGGTTCGATACATGAAGATCATTGAGAAAAGTGGTTACCAGGCCCTGCCCTGGGTTCGCTATATCACCCAGAGTGGCGGTAAGGCAGCCTGCTCCCTGGGACAGAGGTCAAGGAGATGAAAGGGATGGTCTCCAGGGCTTTGACTACATTCTGACTTGAAGGGTTCCAAAACCTAACAGGCCTGTCCCTTGACTTAGCCCATTTTTGTCACTTTGCCATCCTGGGCCTCACTTACCCAACTTTAAAGTGGGAACAGTTGCCATTCTAGGATGGTGATGGGGTTTGGACGAGGAGCTGAACACACAGCCACCTCTACCTGTTGCCTGAAAACAGATTCATTGCTAAGTTTATTTTTCCTGTATTTGACCTTATGCTAGATTTGTTACTATTTGCAGGGCTAAGCATAAGCTCTGGAATGAGGATAGACCTGGGGAATGAGACTGTCCCTCTTTCCCCTTTCTCCAAATCTGAAATGATTCCTATTCATTGTTTCCCTCCAGATTATCAACTTCGTACCACCTAGAAGGGAGAAGAGGTGGGAGCATGAACATGGGCCTCCCTCTCCTCAGGCCCTGACTTCAGACTTTAGAGGGAAGAAAGGGGTATGTGTGTGGTGTGTGTGTGTGTGTAGCCTGACTTAACAGTTACTTGCTCCAAGTCCCACCTATATCTGTACCTATAGGCTGTGAGGAAGGGTCTCCTCTCCTTCTGGGATCCTCCTCCTTCCTTTTATATGAAGAAATAGAGGGGGGGTTTGAAGCCCCCTTATGAGTGCCTTCTTGCTGTGACCTGCCTTACGGGATGTGGGGGACCCTCCACCTTCACATTTGCTGAGCCTAAATGGGGGCCCTCCTCCCCGCCCCCCTTTCTGAGTTTTAGGATGGCATTAAAAAGACGCATCTAGCCTCTGTGTATGTGCTCCTTGGCTGGGACCTGGGGGTGCCAGAGATGTTCCTGAGAGCTGGGATGAGAACGGACAACACATGCACTCCTCAGCCCTGGTTATCTTGTTACACTGGCCCTTCCACTCAGCTGTGGGGCACGGAGGCTGTGTTGAAGCAGGTAGTCTCAGAGCACTGCCTACAGGCAGCCTTGGTGTTTTCCTCATGCTGGCAGATGCCGGCTGCTCTGAAAGTGGCAGGAGTTTCTCTGCCCACCGCCCAAGCTGCTCTGGCAGTGATCAGCAGCAACAAGAGGTTTCCCACCCCCTGCCTCAGAACATTGCCTGCAGGTAGCCCCAGGCTACCCTGACATCTGGTGGCTGCAGTGGCTTCAGGGAAAACTTAACCCCCAGCCTTGCAGCTCTTGGATTGGGGTTGCTGGGAGGATCATCTGGCCCCATGGAGGCAGCTCCAGTGCTGTGACTCCCTGAAGTCATGTCCTAGCGCTGCTGCAGGACCCCCTGTATTGTTACACAGGCCCTGCTGAGGGTGCTGGGTGCAGTGTGCCTGTGGCCCCAAGGAAGCTGGCTTCAGTTGTAGTCCTCCAGAGCCCACCAGTGCAGGAGCCTGCCCTGAACACAGTGCAGGCTCGGTCTGGACAGGTGCTGGGGTTTTCCCTTTTGAATCTGGTGTCAGGATCATGAGTGGACCAATTAAGTTTGAGCTGCTCAGTGGACCAATCAGGTTTGAGCTTGCCAGTTACATTCAAGGACTTGAGTTCATATGTGGATTGAAAAAGGAGCGAGCTGATTGGTGCTTAGCTGGTACCAAGCAAATAGTTAAGATTGAAAAATGGGGCCTCCCTGGTGGCCTAGGAGTTAAGTCTCAGCGCTATCACACTATCACCAGTGTGGCCTGAGTTCAATCCCTGGCCAGATATCATGCTATCACATGTGGCACAGCAGACTTCTCCTGTCTTGCCCACTGTTCCCCTTAGCAGTGTATTTCAGTAGATCTGCCTATTCTGTTCCCCACTCTGTGGTGAATCTTCTCACCCCCCTCCCCCACTCCTCTGGCCTACACCCCAGTTATTCTATTCATAAACAAACAAATCTTTTTTTTTTTAATAATAGTCAGCTCCCTCTGAAATGAGCTTCACTTGCATTTTTTTAAAAAAGATTTATTTATTTATTTATACAAGCACTGGGTACAGTCAGAAGCGCAGAAGGGTAAGAGAATTCACCAGAGCCAGAGCGGGTAGCAGAACAGGCAGACTGATGAAACACACTGCTGAGGGGAGCAGCAGGCGCGGCAGGAGAGGTCTACGCACCATGTGGGACCCTCGCTGGCCGGCCGGGGATTGAACAGGCGCTGCAGAGGCTGCGGGCAGCCTCACAGTCCAGCGCTCAAACACTGCGCCACCAGGGAGGCCCACAAATAAATAAATCTTAAAAAAAAAAGATTAAGGGCCTCCCCTGGTGGCACAGGCTGTTGAGCGCAGTACTGTGAAGCTGTCCACAGCCTGATTGAACCATTTTTCAATTTTTTTTTTTTTAAAGATTTATTGGGCCTTCCTGATGGCGCAGGGGGTTAAGCACCACACTATGAAGCAATCCACAGCCTCTGCAGTGTGGTTCGATCCCGGCTGGCTGGCAAGGATCCCACATGGCGTGGCAGACCTCTCCTGTCTCACCCGCTGCTCCCCTCAGCAGTGTATTTCACTCAGTCTGCCTGTTCTGTTCCCCACTCTGTCTCTGGTGAACCCTCTCACCCTCCCATGAGTCTGACCTGTATCCTGATTCTTGTATGTATGAATAAATAAATCTTTTTAAAAAAATATTTATTTAGGGCCTCCCCGGTGGCGCAGCGGTTGAGCGCTGGGTTGCGAAGCTGCCCGCAGCCTCTGCAGCGCCGGTTCGATCCCCAGCTGCTCCCCGGCCACCGGAGGAGGGTCCCGCATGGTGTGCGGACCTCTCCTGCCACCTGCTACTCCTCTCGGCAGTGTACTTCGGTCCTTCTGCCTGTTCTGCTCCCCGCTCTGGCTCTGGTGAATTCTCTCACCCTCCTGCGCTTCCGACTGTACCCAGTGCTTGTATAAACAAACAAACAAACAAACAAATAAATAAAACATGCCTCTATAAAAAAAAAGAAATTATAAAAAAAAAATAAAAAAAAATATTTATTTATGCATAGGAGAGCTGGGGCACAGGCCAGAGATGCAGGGGGTGAGAAGTTTCACCAGAGACAGAGTGGGGAACAGAACAGGCAGACTGACTGAAATACACTGCTGAGGGGAGCACCGGGCGAGGCAGGAGGGGTCTGCTGCGCTATGTGGGCTGCTCCCTGGCCAGCTGGGGATCGAACTCATGCTTCAGAGGCTGTGGATTGCTTCATAGTGCAGTGCTTAACCCCCTGCGCCATCAGGGAGGCCCAATAAATCTTAAAAAAAAAAAAAAAAAAGATTGAAAAATGGCTTGTGGGGCTGGCAGGGGGTAGGGGGAGTAGGGGGGGGGGCCTGAAGAGAATATAAGGCAGAACAGGAGCCAGCGTGAGGCATGGGATTTACCAGATGGCCTCTGGAGAGGATTCATCAGAAGCCTTCAGAAGAGGATTCAGTAGACTCCACAGACCTTTCCAGACTCCAAGACCTTCATGACCTCCACTACCTCCAAACCACCACAGACCTTTGCAGAGACCCAGCTGCTGACCTGCCTCCAGCCCTTTTTCTGACATCACCTGCAAGGAGCACAGTAAGCCTGGGTACAGTTTCTCAAAAGGGCTGGTTGCTATTGGCTCATGCCAATAGCTCACAAAGAACTGGTATCTCTGACACTGATACAAGGCAGCAAGGGGAGCACTAAAACTGACCAAGGACACTGCCCGAATAGTTTACTGGTCACTGTCTGAGTTCTTTACTCACATGCACAATTGCAAGACTACTTAGTTTCAGAGAACAACAATAATGGGATTTATTTAACAAACCAAGGAAAAACGAAGAGCTACTGAGGCCAAAAATGGCTGTTTACTTCACCCAAAGCAGTGTCCAGTGTTTTATTTATTTATTTGTTTGTTTGTTTGTTTATTTATTTATTTATTTATACAAGCACTGGGTACAGTCAGAAGCGCAGGAGGGTGAGAGGATTCACCAGAGCCAGAGCAGGGAGCAGAACAGGCAGACTAACGAAATACACTGCTGAGGGGAGCAGCGGGTGCCACAGGAGAGGTCTGCTCGCCATGTGGGACCCTTGCCGGCAGCCAGGGATTGAACCGGCTCTGCAGAGGCTGCGGGCAGCTTCACAGCCCAGCGCTCAACTACTGTGCCACTGGGGAGGCCCAGTGTCCAGTGTTTTAAAGTTCTAAATACAAAAGCTCCCAAAATGGTGTCTTCCTGCCACTACAGACCTGGAACACATGGCAACAAGACTATAGGCCTCGTTGACAGCAGAAGCACAACAGGAGATGCTCACTGGAACTGCTGAGATGCCCCAGCACGGCACCAGACAAGTGACACTTAAAACAACAGCTGTAGCAGCCAAATGACCCAACAAATGGCCCCACTCATGCAGCTCAGCAAGGCATCCAACTCCAGGTCTTCGCCTTTCTTGCCAGACTATAACAGAGCAAAATTGGGAACAGTTTATGGTGCTCAGCTACTTGCAAAGCCTCCAAACTTTTACTCCCTGCAGTTGGCTGCTGGAAACCTCTCCACGTCCTTCAGAGGACTGACCAGCCTTCTGGAAGATGGGCATGGTTGGAGCAGAACTCTCTGACCCTGGAATCCTGAAGATCTGAAAATGCTGAAATCCCAAAAGCTGAATCCTGAACATTGAATCCTGGGGGCTGCTTCTGCAATCCCTTGTATTTCTTTTCAAAGTCTCCACCCCCACCACTGGCCACTTGCAACCTTAGAAACTTTCCTTTTCCTCAATCTCTGTAAATAAACCCCATTGATATTGCACCTTATGCCTATGTGGTGTCTTGCAATACTTTTTTTGCATTTTCCCTGGGGCTATCTATCCTCACCAGCAGCCCCCTCCAGGGGGTACCACCCGTAACAGTCTTTGGCTTCAGCCACTGGTTACACCACCACCTCCTGGTGACTGGTGTTTACCATCACTGCTGACCAGTGGCCAGTGCTATGTCAGCCAATGTTGCCAGCTTTCCACCATTTCTGATTGTCTGGCACTGCCTCCTGGTGCTGCTGAGTTTGGTGTCTGGTGCTGTCTAGCTCAGCCTTTAGACTATTGCTGGGGTCACTGCAGTGTCACCTCAGCAGACCCAGCTGTGAGCATTTCCAGCTTCCAGTGTGCCACTGCTTACCAATGTGCCAGCAGCTTCAGGCTCTTGTCGAAGGGGACAGTGCCATCTTGCACAAGTGGCCTTTGTTTGGGGGCTACTCTACACTGTGGGCCCTATCTGGGGTGAGATAACTGGCCACTGGCAACCTTAGAAACTTTCCTTTTCCTCAATCTCTGTAAATAAACCCCATTGTTATTGCACCCTGTGCCTATGTGGTGTCTTGCAACTGTTAGCACATGGGTGAGAACCCATAAACAGTGACCTGTGCCACACCTTTGGTACTGTTATAATCTCAGTTTGACCAGCACAGTTGTTTTCAACTCAGTCCACAGGCTCCCTGATGAGCCCATCTTTATCCTCCACCTTCCTTTTGGCCACCAGAGGGCTCCAACTAACTTCTGAGTGGTATCCTTCTTTATCCAGAACCCTCACATGGTAGTAGTTCTGATCCTGTTAGAAGTGCCTAACAGGGCTTCCCCTGGTGGTGCAGCGGCTGACCACTGGGTTGCAAGGCTGCCCACAGCCTCTGCAGCACCAGTTCGATCCCCCGGCCACCGTCAAGGGTCCCATAAAAGAAGTGCTTAACAGCGGCAGCACCTGTGACTTTGCAGGTGCTTCTTTTTACCAACTCTCTCCTGCAGGGCAGCAGCTTCCTGCCTGCCTGTGAGCTGTACCATGCTGGGACTTGTCTCACTGACCTCCCTCAGCAGAGGCTGCTCTCCTCAAGGCTGCCTGCCAGCAACTATGCAGGCCTCTCTTAGCAAACCTGTCCCTTTGGGGCAGCTCTTCCTGTCTGCTTGTATCTATATAAGTGTCCTTTATTTTTCTGTCCTTTTCCCTAATAAACCTTGTAGGGTAAGGAAAAATGTCAAGCTTTTCTGCCCTCCCGCCATCAGGATAGATGATGGATCCTTGCGGTCCTGAATGCATGCCTGATGGCGGGCACCTGGAGTAGGGTGTGGGCATAGGTAGATAGGATTCACCTGGGCTAAAACTGTGCTTTTTAAGGGCGGCGTCACCGGGACACCAGTAGAAGCCGAAAGAGAAGCCGAGAAAGAAGCATTAGAAGCCGAGAGAGAAGCAAAAGAAGCAGAAGCTGAGAGAAGGCTGGAGAACCCAGATAGAGTGAAGACTTGCTGGGGGCTGGGAGGCCTGCCAGCCTCCTGGCCCCCCAGCACCCCTGCCTGCCATGTACCTGGTAATCCCAATAAAAGACCTGCAAAAAAAAACCACTGAGGACTCTGACTCCTCCTTTACCCGGTCTGCTGGATCAGAAAACCTGCTCAGTGGCCAGTTCCTGCCATTACAAACCTGTTCTTTAAATATAAAAAAAAAAGTGCTTAACGCATCCTGCTGGTCTGATCTGCATTGCATCCCTAGTCCTACCTGCCCTCACCCCATCCTGATCCCCCTGTTAGGGGGAAAAGGATGTCCTAAAGCTAATTCCATACAAGCTTTGTGGACTCCACCCCCACCCCAGGCCAAAGCCAAAGACCCTGGGAACTCCAAATCCCATCACCACCAAAGGGAAGGTGGCTGGGACCTGAGGGTGGGGTTAAGCAGCCAGGTTGGTATAAAGCCAGACACGTGGGCTTTGGAGAGGTCCCCCATTTTGACTCTCTGCCAGCTCGCAGTGTCCGGCCAGCTCAGAGAGTGCTTTTTGGGTTTCCAGGTCGGCGGATCGGGTAGGACGCATTAAAGACTTTATTTCCCTATTTTCTCCCTGAGTTGTACATTTTCCTTATTTCCTTTTCCCTTGTAAATAAACCTTTTATTAACCTTTTGTGTATGCCTGTAGTGGAGTATTAATAAGTCCCTTGTAAGCGCGCGGGTGAGGACCCACAGCCAGGCAGCCCGTTCAATATCGGGGCTGCCCTATAAGACCCCCACCCCCGCCCTCTATACCTCACTCTGGATATACCAGCCATGCTTCCAACTCAGGGCCTTTGCATCTGTAGTGCTCTCCATCTGGCATGCTTCCCCACCCCTCTTCCCCATATGGCTGCTTCCCTCACCTTCAAGTCCCAGGTCAAATGTCATCTTCTCTAGGAAGTCCTCCCAGAACTCTATTTCTATGGCTTTGCTTTCCCAAAAGGCTATCTCTTATGTTTTATCAACTACGTAGCTTTTATCACTCTGAAAATATTTATTGTCTTCGCCCTACACAGTAGACATCCTGTAGAAGCCACCCAGCATGTTCTCCAGTTGGGTGACTAGTACACAGTAACAGGCCTGTAGGGTAAGGTAAAAAGTATCAGGCTTTTCTGCCCACCGCCCATTAGGATAGATGACGGAACCCTGTGGTCTCGAATGCATGCATGATGGTGGGCACCTGGAATAGGGTGTGGGCATATGTAGATGGGATTCACCTGGGCTAAGACTGGGCTTTTATTTATTTATTTATTTTTAAGACTGGGCTTTTAAGGGCGGCATCACCAGAACGCCAGCAGAAGCAGAACGAATGGAAGAACTGTTAGGGGGAAAAGGATGTCCTAAGCGCGCAGGTGAGGACCCACAGCCAAGCAACCCGTTCAATATCGGGGCTGCCCTATAACAGAACCACGAGTAGAAGCAGAGTGCAGAGAAGCTGAGACGACCAGAGAACGCCATAAAGAGTGAAGAGGCCTGCCAGCCTCTCAGCACCACCCCCTACCCTCCCACCCCGCCCCCTGCCTGCTGTGTACCTGGTAAATCCCAATAAAAGCCTGCAAAAGCCACTGAGGGCTCCAGGACTCTCTCCTCCTTTACCTTGGTCTGCTGGATCAGAAAACCTGCACTGTGCCCTGTCCTGCCCTTACAAGGCCTCTATAAGAATGACTGCCTCTGTAAGAGTCAAGGCCCACCAAGACTTCTTGGCCTCTAAGGCTGGCCCACGTGGCGGTTGCAGTGTGAACTTTCCTCCTCTCCCTTTCATTTGCTGTGTCAGGGCTGGATCAATCTGAACCAGGATTTGATTCCTGCCTCACCCACTCTACTTCCCCTCCTCTTTTCTAAACGGTGCATGAGGCTAGCGAAAAGTTCTTAGTTGCTCGAAAGTGCGCTCCCAGCGCCTGGATGGTTCCTACGAGGCGGGAGAATGAATGAAGTAAAGCTCAAGGCACAGTAAGGGCTAATAAGTGCTTGTTCCGTGACTGAATGGTGTAATCCGGCACTGGGCGGCCCCCAGTCCTGCCTCCCTTCCCGCCGTGGGTGCCGAGGTCCCGGAGGAGCGTGAGTTCCCCAGCTGCTGCCCTTTCTCCCCTGGGTCAGTTAAACTTTCCCGCCCGCCCAACGAGTTTGAAAACCGAAAACCCCGCCATTGCCAGCGGTTCACCGGTCGCCGCGACTCGACCAATCGGCAGCGGCACCGCCCACGCCGACTCGCGCAACCGACGCGTGGCTATTGGCTGCGCTGTCCACGTGGGCGGGGCGCCGAAGGGTCGCGCGCAGGGCAACGCCGCTAGGCTACAAAGTAGCGAGTTCATAAGAAAACAAACCCACCCCGTTCGTGGGCGGGGCATCGGGCGTCTAGCCCCGCCCCCGGCGGCCAGCTCGGCGGAGGCGGCTGCGCCGGCTCAGAACAGACCCCGCCCGTCTAGAAGGAGGGAGGGTGAGTTGGGGGTGGACCCAGCCCCCAAGGGGCGGGCGCCGGGCAGGGCCCTAAGGGCCGCGGAGGGTTGGGCCGGGTTCCCAGCCTTTGGCGACCTGCTAGGTGACAGGAGGTGGAACCGGCCGGAAGGGTGGGGGTCGCGTTCAGACGAGTCAGGCCCCGAGCGTCGCACAGGCCGGGCGGGCCGCGGGAGCTCTGCACCCGGCCGGCTCCGGCTGGCTCCCCTGCGCTGACCGCTCCGGGTTGGGGCTGGGGGGCTCCGCAGGCAGCCGGTGTCGACATGCTGCTGGAGGAGGTTCGCGCCGGCAACCGGCTGAGCGGGGCCGCGGCCCGGGGAGACGTGCAGGAGGTGCGCCGCCTTCTGCATCGAGAGCTGGTGCACCCGGACGCCCTGAACCGCTTCGGCAAGACGGCGCTGCAGGTGAGGCCCGGCCGGCCCGCAGCGAGGCCAGGGCGGGAGGGCGAGGAGAGTGGGACCTCCGACCCCTTTTTCTCTCGTCTCTGTCGGTGTCCGACTGGGGGTTCGGTCCTCCTTTTCTGGACTGACGTTGTCCGTGATGTCCCCTTTCCTAGGTGGGTGGAAGATGCGGTTAAGTGGGGGTGGGGCTGGGAGAGCTTTCCATCTTCCCTGGAGGATTCCTTGTTCTCTGGCAGCCAGGAATTCATTTTCCCTCGGGAGGTTCTTGTTCCGTGGGTGAGGGTGCACCTTCTTTGGATCCGGGTTTCATGGGGATGGCTCTTAGGGCTTCGTTTGAGGGAATCGGATCAGTGAAGTCCTGGGCATCCTGCTTTTGGGGTGAATCTTTGAGAGGTATCCAGTTTCTTGAGGAGAATCTCCATTCCTAGGTTGCTGGTTTTTTTTTGTTTTTTTTTTTTTAATTTTTTTCCCCTTCTCAGTTTCCTGGTATATTAGGGAGGCCCCAATGGGGGAATAGCTACAGATTGCTAGGGAGTCCCTATTCCCTGGGTGGCATTTACAGGGGACCTCGGTTTCTTGAGGTGCTCAAGTGTTTTGGGAAGCACCCCCCATTATATGACAGAGGCCAGTCCGTGGAGAAGGGCTTTCAAATTCCCTGGGCATCTTCTTTCCCTTGAACAGGCTATCAAGTTCCCTGGAGGCAAGTTCTCATATGAGGCCTATTTCCTGAAGGAGGTTTCATATTTCCTGGTGATTTACCATATCTTGAGGAGAAGATGCCTTGGTTCCTTGGGGGAGCATCTTAGATTGCTTGAAAGTTTCTATGCGGCTCTTCTCTAGATGCTGTCTTATCCTTAGAGAGATGGTGCGGGGAGGGCTCTCTATTCACAGGAGACCTCTTTTGGTTCTCAAACAACTGTCTGCGGGGGGGGTTGTTACCTGGGATTTCTCATTTTTCAGAGGATCTCTCCTCTGGTGTCCTGTATTTGTAAATGACCCTTCTCTCCAGTGACCTGAATTTTCCTGAATCTTCTCTTTTGGGGACTTGCTGCCCCTCTGCCCACACACAGGTCATGATGTTTGGCAGCCCCACCATTGCCTTGGAGCTCCTGAAGCAAGGTGCTAGCCCCAATGTCCAAGACGCCTCTGGCACCACTCCGGCCCATGATGCAGCCCGCACTGGATTCCTCGACACCCTGAAAGTGTTGGTAGAGCATGGCGCTGATGTCAATGCTCCTGATGGCACTGGTGCACTCCCCATCCATCTGGCAGTGAGGGAGGGCCACACAGCTGTTGTCAACTTCCTGGCAGCAGAATCTGATCTACATCACAGGGATGCCAGGGGGCTCACACCCCTGGATCTGGCTCAGAGGAGAGGGGCTCAGGATCTCCTGGACATACTGCAGGGGCATACTGTGGCACCACTGTGACCTGGGGCCACTCACTGCCAGCAACAGGACCCAGCTGGGGTATATGTCATAAGAGGAGGGGAGAAACATTTTGTCTCCTCGCTCCTCCTGCTGGCTGTCGAAGGGGAGGGGCACCAGTTTGTGGCTTGTTGGTGTTGATTTCTGGGATGTGTGTGTGTGTTTGAGGCTCATTTCTCATTTGTTTTTCTCACCCCTTTTGGTGTGTTAGTCAGAGAAGGGCTCCTGTAGGCAACAGCCACCTAAACGGTTCGGTTTCCTCCACGCCCCAGGGTGCTGGGGCTACAGATGGTGCCAAGGGCAGAGTGTTCAAAGACTCAGTTCCAGAGTGAGGTCATGGCTTCCAGGGCTCCTGGAACCTGGTGACCTTGACCAGCTGGCTGTACCCAGAGAAACCTCAAGTATGCGCACTGCTTAGAGCTGGGGGGAAGAGGGGAGCTGAGGGGAGTGTTCCAAAACTATAGATGGATAGTATGAGTTCGTTCATATTTTGTTGGAAGCTTGCTTCCCAGTCTCTTGTACAGCGTTAAAAGACTTCTATTTATTAAGCTTTATGGAAAAAGTCGTTGTGTGATTATTTAACGTTTTTACCCATTAAATTAAGATTTGTGCATGATCACAGCGCGGGTGTCTTCTGATTTTTGAGTCTGCAATGGCTCGCGTCAAGGGTATTTGTGGGGGGTCGGCAAGGCAGTCGCGGATAGGGGCTGTTTTGAGGGAGGGGAGAGAGTGAGAATTCCCAGGGCGTCAGGGTGAGCGAGCTGGGTGGGGCAGCGGTTTGCGCTGTCGGAACGGAAGGGAGGCAGGAAACCGCGAGTGGGGAAAGGGCCCCCAGATGTCAGCTGGGTGCCCGGAGCCCAGTGGGTGGGGTTGGGTGGGCGGTGGCCGCAGCCCTTCCCCGCAGAGACGTGACCGGCGGGCAGGGACTGCGGTTACGCGGCGCGGGGAAGCCGGGAAGGCTTGGGGGCGGGATTAGAGCGGTCTTGGAGGCTCCGCACCCTTTAAAAGTTCACGGTGGGCGGGACCGAGAACTGCCCGCCTCCTTCAGGGCGGCCGTTTTACGCGTGCGCAGTGGGTCACGGAGCCGCCATGCCGGAGCCGCGCGGCTTGTCTCCGCTTCGGGTCAACAAGGCGTTTGCTGCCCGGTACGGCCGCTACCGGGAGCGCGAGGAGCTGCAGCGGCGTGAGTGCAGGACGCATGCGCGAGGGGCACCGGCGCCTGCTAGGCGGTGGGGAGGTGGGATTTTGATCTGGTCCGGAGGCTGATGGGGGGGTGGGGATTCCCATCTGTGCCCCACAGTGAAAGATCGCTACGGCGACCCGGATAGCAGCGGCGACTCCAGCTCCGAGTCTGACTCCAGCGACGAGCGCGTGGTGAATGCCCCACCCTCACCCTGCCTCTTAGGGCGACAAATCCCCCAACCATCTCGCCCTACTGGAACGCCCGACTGCTCGCGCACCAATCCCATGAGGGACAGAGCGCCCTCCCTATCCCCCTAAGGAGAAGCGAGCTCCTCACCCCTATCACCTCTGCCGCAGAACCTTCCACCTGCCCATTCTGATGACTGGGGTGCGTCCCCCCTGCCCTCCTTCCTCATCCCCAAGGGTAACCACTTCTCAGTGTCAGACTCTGACCCTGAAGTCCCCACATGGGGCACCCAGGTTTCTCCCCACATCAGTCCTGATCTAGCCACCTTCACTTTGCAGCCGCTCCCCTCCTCTGTCAATCCCAAGTGCCCACGTGCCCCATATCCGTTTCCTAGCCTGTACCTCTGCATGGCCCTTCTTTGCCGGCGCCCTCCACCTATTTGATCCCGCACTCAGACCCAACCTTCCAGCTTCCCCCACGACCTGCCTTCCCCAGCTGGATACTCCCTCCTACCCACATTCTCACGTCCTTCCAGCTCACTTGCCTTGTTGGTTACTGCCTGCCCGCCCCTTCCCCCTTTCCCCTCCCTTCTGCCCTCACCTGGGTTTTCAGCACCTCACTTCTGAAGTCTGTTCCCACTTTTCCTGCCTTAGGAATTTGATCCTCAACAGGAGCGTGACTTTTATAGGACTCTCTCTTTGTTGAAGAAGAAGGATCCCCGCATTTATCAGAAAGATGCCATCTTCTATCAGAGAACAGGTTAGAGGCTCCTCCTCCCTGAGACCCAGGTTCCTCATCATGTTATAGGTTATGAGTAGTGATTATTTTTTTTCCTATACAAGGGCTTTAATAAGTGCAACTTGTAAGAGAGTAGAGGAGTCAGGACAGAAAAGAGAAAAGGGCCAAGCCAAGGGGGTCATTTCAGAGTAAGGACCATGGAGGGTGGCTTCAGCCTACTCTCCGGAGGGACTTGGAGTGTAAGTGATGATCTGGAGTTGTCCCATCTTGGGATAAGAATCTGGGCTTCATAGTCTGCACACTCCAGCAGCAATGGCTGAGAGGTCCTGTAGGGGGCATTTAAATGCCCAGGTGCTTGGGGCTCCCGCTGTGTGCAGCCAGAGCAGTTCCAGTAATTGGAGGACAGTGCCCTCATTTACTGGCTTGTTCAGAAGTGCTAGATCTCATCCTTTGCAGCCATCTTTGGAAACAAGCAGCTATTTGATGATCTCCTGACTGACTTACAAAACTGAAAAAAGGAAATTTTCCCATATCCCTCAGGGTTCTTCTAGCTTGACAAAAATCGAACAAACATCAGACAGATTGATAAGAGAAAAAGTAAAAAACGAAGTTTAATAATCACAATGTGTATGCCTTCTGTGTACATAAGAAGATCCAACTTAACTGAGTAACTCTTTAGTGAATTGTTTTAAGTAAAAACTGCTTAACCATATGTTTTAGATTGTTATCTGCTGATGTTAATAACTGTGCTTGGCACTGTTCAGAGTGTGGCTTATCACTGTATGATCAAAGCCAGTTATTGCCAGGTAGTAGCAAATAGGCACCTATTTTATAGCTGGGAATTGTTGGCTTGGGGATTTGAAATCTCAGTCTTACCCTGCCCCAGTTCCAGCCCTGTGGGATTCTTTGCCTGGGGAATGCAGGGGGTTGTGGGTGATAGCAAGTGTCTCTGACGGGCCCACAGCTTCGTCCTCGGAGAGTGAGGACGAGTCAACAGCCAAGGCAAAGCAAAAGAAGGTGCAGCCCATGTACCTGAAGGACTACGAAAGAAAAGTTATTTTGGAGAAAGAAGGGTGAGAACCCCCTTCACCAGCACCCCCTCCCCCTCTCCCACCCCTCAGGCGGGCTGACACATGGAGTCTTAGGATTAGGTGTGGGTAGAAGCCAGTTACTCACCAGAATTGAGGGAACCCCAGAGAGCAGGCGCTTGAGTGATCTGCCTGCACCCTAGTTTCCCCGCCCCTTCCCGTATCCATCCTCACTACTGCTTTGAACAGCTCCCCACATAATGGGGACAGATGAGCCATAGGCATGTATCCTCAAGCCCACATCCTTCCTTGTCCAGCAAATATGTCGACGAGGAGAATTCAGATGGGGAGCCCTCTAATCAGAGACTCCAGGTAGGTGGTGTGGATGCTGAGGGAGTGGCTAATGGCCCCCAGGGCTGGGTCTGAGGCCCATGTCTTTCTCTTCAGCAGATTTCTTCAAAAAGTTATGTGGAAGAACAGAAACAGCTCAAGGAAAGGTGAGCTGGGGCCAGGCAGGTAGCCAAGTGTACAGGAATCAAGGCTCTAGTGTTGCAAATGCCTGGGTTCAAATCCAACTCTATTATTTAGTGACTGTGCAATTGGGCAGGTCATTTGCCCTTTCCATGACTCAGTTTCCTTCTCCACTAAATGGGTTTGATCATGCTTTTTGTGTCCCAGCACCTCTCTCAGCTTGTCGTGAGAGCTCAGAACTTAGGAAAGGGGTACTGGGGGAGGGGGCATCCTACCCGTCCTGAGGTTTGTTCCCTCACTTGCGCAGCTTCCAGGCATTCATGGAGGACAGTGAGGATGAAGACAGTGCCGGGGAAGGTGGCTCTGGCTTGCTGCAGAAACGAACTAAAACTGGGGAGGAGAAGGTGGGTGTTGGACCAGTACTGGTGGGGAGGGAGTTTGGTGCTCCCACAGGCACTCAGCACTGGCTTCCACCAGGCCCAAGAGGATGCTGACTACATGGAATGGCTGAAGGGGCAGAAGGAGATTCGAAACCCAAACACCCATGCTCTGGAGGAACTAGTGAGTCCCCGTGCATAGCTGCCCCTCCCAACTCCATCCAACCTTTTTCTAGAAGTGGACCCTTGAGGGGTTAACAAGGGCATGTGCTCTTCTCTGGGCCACAATTTCTACATCTGTAATGTGGGGGAATGACTTTATTAGCCATCTATGGAGTTTCAGTTACTTAGAGCCACTTGGTACCCACTTCCACCCACCTGCCCTTCCCCCAAGTCCCTGACTTGGGCCTAATATCTCCCTCACCTCCAGACCCACCTCAAGGAATATTGGAACAATCCAGAGCTGGATGAAGGAGAGCAGTTTCTGCGAGATTATATCCTTAACAAACGCTATGAGGAGGAGGGAGATGAGGAAGAAGAGGAGGAGGAGGAAGGGTGAGCAGCCGTGTTCCCAGGGGCCAGAAGGCAAACAGCATTGGATATTACTTTTTTCATACAAATGGTGGTGGAGTTAGTCCATCCCTGATGAAACTCCCTAGGTGTGGGCTCTGGAGCCAGGTGACAAATGCTGGCCCTGCTTTTAGTCTTTTCTCATCTGTAAAACTGGCTAACAGCACCCTACTTTAGGGTTATTTGGAGGATTAGATGAGTTAATTCAGCTGATAAATGATAGTGCAGGAGCTCAGTTGACTCACAGCTCCACCCCATCTTGTTCCTTAGGGTCCCCAGTCCTGTCCAGTTGGCTGTGGACGACTCCTCAGATGAGGGAGAGCTATTTCTGAAGAAGCAGGAGGACTTTGAGCACAAGTACAACTTCCGCTTTGAGGAGCCGGACTCTGCTTTGGTTCGTGGCCAGAGCCAGGGCTGGGGAGGACCAGGCCCTCAGGACCCCGATTGGAGAACCCAGAATCATCTCTTGGCCCTTTTGTATTCCTGTTGCCCACAGGTCAAGACCTACCCTCGGACCATCGCATCCTCTGTGCGCCGCAAGGATGAGCGCAGGAAGGAGAGGAGGGAGGAGACCCGGGAGCGAAAGAAGAGGGTGAGTGTGTGGGCAGCTTGCTGTGGGGTGAGGGGGGAACTCCGTCTGCTGGGAGCGCTGTCACCCTTCACCCGCCTCCACACACACACACACACACACACACACACACACACCCCCACCTCCTGCCATCCCACAGGAGAAGGTGAAGAAGCAGGAGGAGCTCAAGCAGCTGAAGAACCTGAAGAGGAAGGAGATTCTAGCCAAGCTGGAGAGACTGCGGCAGGTCACAGGCAATGAGACGCTGGGATTTGAGGAGAAGGACCTTGAGGATGACTTTGACCCAGCCCAGCATGACCAGCTCATGCAGGTATGTTCCTGTACCCCAGGTGGTAGGGAGCATGGCTCTGGAATCTGGTCATTCCCTGGCTGTGGCTCAGAGGAGAGACTTGACCTCTGATTCTATTTCCCTTCTGTAAAATGGGTCCAGCCACACATCTACCTCTGGGCTGTTGTGAGAATGACTTGCAAGGAATGCACATAAAGGTTTAGTTGGTAAGTGCTCAAGGAACGGCGGGTTGTGTTTCCTTTTGGCTCATTTACTGAGCTCTAAGGTTTTTTTGTGTTTGAGGGAACATGGTGTATTAGGTTTTGAAGGCTCAATGAGAGTAGTAGTGGAAACCTTGGGAAACCCAAAGAAGCCCCTCATCAAGCCTGGGAGGTCAGGTTAGGAAACTGAGGATGCCTAGGTGGGCCAGGTAAAAATTAGGTGTTGGGTAGCTGGAGTTCGGCCTTCACTTTCTAGAACTTTTCAGCACTGAGTTTCTTGGGGTGGCTGTAAGAACACAGTAAGATGCAGCTTACTATTTAGCAAATAGTAGATGCTTAATAAATGACATAGTAAATAGTATCTTCCTTTGCCGAGGCTCCAGTGGGTGTTTCAGTCCCAGCAAGGGTCCCAGCAAGGGACCAACAGTCTCAGCCCTCTTGGCTGAGAAGGCACTGGGCAGTGATGGGGACAAACCAGAGGAGGCAGGGTCTTAAAGGAGTCTCCTACCTGACTTTGTCAGGCATGGTAGGGAGTAGGTTAGTGCAGGCAGCTGAAATAGGACCCAAGGCCCGAGTACCAATTAGCTGGTCAAAGAAGAACTAGGCAGGAGGTGCTGCAGAGTCCTGCAAAGTTCTGTGGAAAGGGGGAAAACTACGGGTCTGTGGAACAGAATGCCAGGCAGTGTGTGTGTGTGTGTGTGTGTGTGTGTGCGCGCCATGTACAGGAGTCAAGCTGTTTGAAGGAGTGGGCCATGCTGACCCTCCCAATTCTCAACCCTACAGAAGTGCTTTGGGGATGAGTACTATGGTGCTATGGAAGAAGAGAAGCCACAGTTTGAGGAAGAGGAAGAGCTTGAAGGTGAGGTCACCCCTGGCACAGGGAAGGAGTCGGGTAGTGGAGGAGAGACGGGGTCTAAAGCCTAAGATTCCAACCTGACCTCCACCGGGCCTGTCTGCCCTCTCTGGAACCAGATGACTGGAACTGGGACACGTGGGCTGGGCCAGAGCAGGGTGGTGCATGGAGCCAGCAGGAGCTGCACTGTGAGGACCCCGACTTTAACGTAGGTGCTAAGGGTTGGAGGTGGTTGTCATACAGTACTGGGGTCCCCGAGGGCTGCCTAACCTGCAGGTTCCGGCAGATGGATGCTGACTACAACCCCAGCCAAAAGCGGAAAAAGCCACGTGAGGCCCCCTCGACAGGCAAGAAGAAACGCAAGTCACCCTTTGCCTCGGCCGTGGGGCAGGAAAAGCCTGTGTTTGACCCCGGTGAGGCACAGGAAATGATCCCTGGGCTGGCAGGGGTTCTGCAGGCTGAGCACACCCCAGCAGCCTGTGCTCTCCCTTGAGCAGGGGACAGGACTTTTGAAGAGTACCTGGATGAGTATTACCGGCTGGACTATGAGGACATCATTGATGATCTGCCCTGTCGCTTCAAATACCGAAGTGTGGTGCCCTGTGACTTTGGGCTCAGCACCGAGGAGGTGGGGCTCTGCCAGCCAGCAGACAGTGAACATAGGGTGGGGTGGAGGTATGCCCGGTAAGCAAGAGGGAGTGGATAGACAGTAAATGCTATGACATGGCTAGACAGGGAGCTGCAAACAGTGCTTTACCCACAGTATCCCTCCATAAATACCACTTTCAATTCTGTGACTGTCTGCCTGCAGCATGGTGACCATTCAGACTAAGTGGGCTTTGCTATCAGATGACCCAGGTTAAAATCTTGACTTAGCCAGTCACCAGGTGTGTGACCTTGCACATATGATTGAAGCCTTCGTGCCTGAGTTTCCCCATCTGTAAAATGGGCATAGTAACAACCCCTTCTATCACCTCATGGCTGAAATGAATGTAGGAAACTCTTTGAATATCACTTGTTTCTGGTGGGTACTTGATTATTAGTGATTAGTAAAAGTAGCCAGCATTTATTGAGCTTTACCGTCTGTGTCCATTCAGTCTTCCCGATAGTTTCTGAGGAGATGCCTTCCTTATACATGAGGAAACAGGCCTGAAGGCAGCTGCCTGGAGATTTGAAGTTGGGTCTTATCTGTAATTAGCAAACTCCATCATTGGCATGAAGGCCACTGCCCTGTTTAGGGGCTTCTGGGGCCACAGTTCATGGGTGAGAGCTCTGGAGTTCTTGTGCTCAAACTGGACTCTGAAATCAGCCACAAAAGACAAGGAGTGGTATCTGCCTAAATCACTTCTCTCCTGCTGTTATGACGTCCCTGCCGAGTAGCTCTAGTATCACCCTCCTTGACCAATGAGGTGAACAGAGTCAGGGCCCCCCAGGACTCACACAGCAGGATCCCATCCTCCTTTTCCTTGCAGATCCTTGCTGCCGACGACAAGGAGCTGAACCGGTGGTGCTCCCTGAAGAAGACCTGCATGTATAGGTGATAGGTTGGGACTGGTTGGGGTACCCTGGGAGGGGAGCTGGCAGGCAGATCTGGGCACCTCCCCCCCCCCCCCCCCCAGCACCAGCTACAGCTGTGCTTACTGGACTGCTGCAGGTCAGAGCAGGAGGAGCTACAGGACAAGAGGGCATATAGCCAGAAGGCCCAGAATGCGTGGAAGAAGAGGCAGATCTTCAAGTCACTCTGCCCAGAGGAGTGAGTGTCACTAGCCGGGGAGGATGGGTTCAGGTTTGAGTCTTGCCATGACCTAGAATGGAGCTTCCCCTCACTGAGACATGGGTTCAGATCTTAGCTGGGCTATAACTGTGTGATGATAGGCAAGTTACTTTCCTTCTCTTCGCCTGTTTCCTCATTTATAAAATGGGGATACAGATGGCTTATTTCTTGTTAAGTATTTTTAGGATTAAAATGAGTTAATTCATGTTAAGGACTTAGAAAAGTAGGCCTCCCCGGTGGCGCAGCGGTTGAGCGCTGGGTTGCGAAGCTGCCTGCAGCCTCTACAGCTCTGGTTCAATTCCCGGCTGCTCCCCGGCCACTGGAGGAGGGTCCCACATGGCGCGCAGACCTCTCCTGCCGCCCGCTGCTCCCCTCAGCAGTGTACTTCGGTCCTTCTGCCTGCTCTGCTCCCCGCTCTGGCTCTGGTGAATTCTCTCACTCTCCCATGCTTCTGACTGTACCCATAAAGATAAATCTTTAAAAAAAAAAAAAAACTTAGAAAAGTGAATGCCATATAGGTATTAGATATTGTTAATATTATAATTGTTATTTCCTGATTTATAAAGCAGGGGTGATAAAAGTTACTGAAGCCAAAATGAGTTAATTTATGTGAATAGTGGAGTCCAAGACATTAATAGAATAGTGACACAGTACAGCCTAAGGATTTAGTAGGAAGACTCTGGTTTTGGTGCCAGACTTGGGTTTCAATCCCAGGCTCCCAAAATTGCTGTATGGTCACCTCTCTGAACCTTTCCTTATCTGTAAAATGGGGGACATAACAGACATAAATGGAGCAGACATAAATGTGACTGGCCTGAGCTGAGCCCTGACTTTCCTCTTCCAGGACGGAGACATCCACAGAAGCCACAGAGACGCCACAGAGAGACAAATCCAGTCCGCATGGGCAGCTGCCAATACCTGCCAATGATAGGGCCTACAGAAAGCAGCCCTGGCTTGAGAGCCCCCCAGTGCAGGATGAAGTGACCCCTGTGTCATCCAACCAGAAGCCAGCCTCCCAGAGGCGGAGGAGGGGCAAGAAGGCACGTCTTCTGGGCCCCACAGTAACACTAGCTGGTCGTGAGTTCAGCCGTCAGAGACTGCAGGCCTTTGGCCTCAACCCCAAACGGCTGCACTTCCGTCAGTTGGGCCAACAACGAAAGAAGCAGCAGAGGCTCAAGAATGCTCCCTAAATTCAGGGAGCATGCAGGAGCCCTGGGTCCCTTCCCCCCCACCCCCCCAATAAGGGCCCTTGGTTGCATTGCCCTGGTTGAAAGTACAGCCCTTCTGTCTACCTGGTGGGCCAGGGAGTCTTTCATCTGATGCAGAAACTGAGGCCTACTGAACAAGTTAGAGACACCCTTGGAGATCATCCCTCAAATGCTGGGCTCAGCCATAGCCACTGTCAAGTCAAACGGCTTTATTAGTCCCCAGTGGCCACAGTTCCCTGCCACCACCAGCCCTTGGCAGGACAGGGGTTTCAGGACCAATGAGGGGCACAGGCAGTCCAGTGCAAACTACAGTACTTGAGTCATGCCCTGAGTGGGTGCCCAGAAGCTTGTGCTCCCTCCCTGCCCTGTGAGATGGGCAGCAGCTCAGTTGGTGAGAGGCAGGCCTATAGCCTCTGCCCCTGGCTGAATGGCTCTTGCCCAAAGTTCTGGACTGGTCTCAGCTGCACTTGTCAAGGGGGTGAGAATGGTCACCGCCAGAGTTCAAGTTCCCATATCCAGTGTGACATAAATAAAAAAATAGTGTCGCATCTTCTCCCCCAATCCCTCCTTTTATAAAAACACGAAGTCCTCAGAGCTTGGGCGCTTGGCCTTGAGGAGTCGCCCAGTGCGAGGCAGCCGCAGTGTTGGCTGGGAGAGCTGGGAGCAGAGGTCATCCAGGCTATGGTCCTGAGCATGGCCCTCGGCCAGGGTGAACATGGGGTACCGCTCTGAGGTGGATGAAGAACTGAGGACCTGGTGGGAGGAGGGAAAGAGATCAACCCCAAACACAGTAGCTAAGTTAGTTATCCTGTAGGCATAACAAATAGGTTATTAGATGCTTCCTGAATACAAATCCCGTCCCTCCAGGGCAATAAGCTCGGCCAGTCAGCATTTCACATTCCCTAGATGCAGTGATTGGCTCAGTGAAGTGCATCTGACCTGACAGCCAATGAAAAGCAGCCCTGAGATTTTTGCTGCATCTGTGGAGTGGTGTGGGAGAGCGGGGCTCCCATTTCGCTGGGAGGTAGGTGGTCAGAGATGCCTCCTGGATGTAGCTGTCCCCCAAAGGCAGCAATGCTTCATTTTTTGCCCCATCTTTATAGAGGGAGTTACACCTGGGCTTGTGGGAAGAAGCCTGGAAGCAGCCTCCCCAAAGCTGTTGGATTCAAGATCTTTGTTCCTCACCCAACTCTGCCTACACTTTGCTTCCCACCCTCTACCACTCTTCTTGCTCACCCTGGTCAGCTCTGAGCAAAGTGTCTCAAACTCCTTCCTGTCTCCAGCGTAGAACCCCACAGTACAGCTTGGGTCCATCTTGGCAAAGGCCATCTTGCGGGGTGAGGTGCAATGGAAGGACTGGGGCAGACAGACAAGGGAAGATCAGGGGGCCCTGACTCCTTCCACATGCCCCCAACCCCACCCTGGGAATCCCAGCTCACCTCCAGGGGGAAGTCAGCCCTGCTGACATCCACAGTGGGCTGGCAGTAGTGGGGGTCCAGGTAGAGCAGGAAATCATCTGCAGGGGAAGAAGCATTAGTGGGTGTAGGGGAGGATGAAGTGGGATAGGTAGAGCAGGATAGGGTGAACTTACCCTGGTACCCGATGAAGTACAGAGAGTGTCGTGGCTTGCCCCCCATGATACCCAGGCATAGCTCTGAACGCAGGAGCTCCTGTAGGGAGGAAAGTAGGTTAAGGTGAGGACTTGGGGTATGTGCTGTTAGGCAGTCCTCAACAAACACAAATGCCCAAAATATGTGAACCCACGCTGCTGGGCTCTAGGGGACCAGCAGTGACCAGGATAGACAAAACCACCACCCTCACGGTGCTGATGTTCTAGTGTGGGAGACAGAACAAGATGAGTAGGTCATGTCATATCAGGAGAGAACACCATGGAGAAGAACAAAGGGAAAGGGGCTTTGTGATAGCTGGGTTACAGGCCAGAGATGGGGGGAGGGGGAGGTGGGTGAGAGGATTCACCAGAGACAGAGCGGGGAGCAGAACAGGCAGATGGACAGAAGTACACTGCTGAGGGAAGCAGCGGGCAAGTTAGGTGAGGTCTACTGCGCCATGTGGGTTGCTGCCTGGCCGGCTGGGGATCTAACCCGCGCTGAGAGGCTGCTGATTGCCTCACAGTGCGGTGCTCAACCCTCTGCGCCACCAGGGAGGCCCTTGTGATTTTTTAAATAGGGCAATCAGGGCCTCCCTGGTGGCGCAACAGGTTGAGTGCAGCACTGTGAAGCTGTCTGCAGTCTCTGCAGTGCAGGTTTGAATCCTGGCCGGCCAGGGAGATTCCCACATGGCGCGGCAGACCTCTCCTGTCTCGCCCGCTGCTCCCCTCAGCAGTGTATTTCGGTCCATCTGCCTGTTCTGCTCTCCGCTCTGTCTCTGGCGAATCCTCTCGTCTTCACGTGCCTCTGACCTATACCCCAATTCTTGTATAAAAATAAATCTTTAAAAAAAAATAAGGGAATCAGGAAAGGCCTTAAGAGTTGTAACTACTGAATAAACAGGGATGAGGAAGCATTAACAGTAGCCATAACCCAAACTGAAAACAGGCTATTGCATTTCTAGAGAGGCGCAGTGAATCTGGCAGAGCCTACCTTTACACAGGGCACGTATACAGGGTTTAGAGTCTCACCACCCAGTCTCACAGGCACCAGGATCACCACAGACTTCCACTCAGCTGAGGGGTCTGGCCTGGCCACCAGGCGAGCCACATCTGCTTTGTACACTGAAATGACAAGGCAGGCAGTCACCTCTTAAGGCCCAGAGTATAGCCCTAAAACTCCAAGAGCCAACCAAGCCTGTGTAATCTCTTTGGGTTAACATTCCATTGATAGTAGAGCACATCTTTCCTGTGTCCCCAAATTCCCTCAGACAATCCCAGGGCCTCCAAGCAGATGTGGACATCCCCTTTTCACAGAAAAGGCACTGAGACCAAGATTTGAACAAAGAATATAAAGCCAGAGGTCTCCCTGGTAGCTCAGGGATTAAAGTCTCAACACTTTCAAGCTATTGCCAGCCACTGAGGCATGAGTTTGATCCCTGGCCAGGGAGTTAACCCACATGGCACAGCAGACCTCTCCTGTCTCGCCTATTGCTCCCCTCAGCCGTGTATTTCAGTAGATCCTCCTGTTCTGCTTCCTGCTCTGTCTCTGGTGAATCCTCTTTCCCTCTGCACCTCTGGCCTATACATCCAGTTCTTGTATGCATAAATAAATACAATAAATTAAAAATATATATATAAAGCCAGGAGGAGATGGAACACCTCTCCAGTCCCAGACCTGACTAGGCCTCACTGACTTAGTACCTTGGTTTCCAATATGGAAATGGTCCCTCAACTAAGTATCTCCGCTCAAGTCCTGTCTGCTGGTCTCCAGTCTCTCGTTTCCTCCCTTACTGACTTTTCTGACTTCAGAGAAGTGGATTCAACTTTCTTTTTTTTAAAGATTTATTTATTTATGCATACAAGAGCTGGGGTATATAGGTCAGAGGTACGGGAGGGTGAGAGGATTCACCAGAGACAGTGGGGAACAGAACAGCCAGATCTACTGAAATACACTGCTGAGGGGAGAGGCAGATGAGATAGGAGAGGTCTGCTGCGCCATGTAGGTCACTTACCTGGCCAGGGATAGAACTTGTGCTGCAGCAGCTGCAGATTGCTTCATAGTGTTGCGACTTAACCCCTTGCACCACTGGGGAGGTCCAGATTCAACCCTTTCTGCACACATGGCAGAAACATGTTCATGTCCCCCCCCTCAAATTCACACGTTGAAACATAACCTTCAAGGTGATGGTATCAGGAAGTGGGACCTTTGGGAGCTGAGGTCTGAGGGTGGAACCCTCATGAGTGGGATCAGTGCCCTTATATGAGACCCTAAAAAGCATGCTTGCCATTCCGCCATGTGGGGACATGGCAAAAAGAACCAGGAAGTGGGCCCACACCAGACAATCTGCTGGTTTGAATTTTCTAGCCTCAGAACTGTAAGAAGTAAATTCCTATCATTTATAAGCCACCTCATCTGTGGTATTTTTGTTACAGCAGCCAGAAGAGGTTAAGACAAAGTCTCTCAGTGAAAATAGAACCCGGCCCCAGATACCATTAATTTTGCATAAAAATTAAGATTTTGTAGATTGTCTAATACCAATCTGTAGAAGCTCCTATTAATTAAGACCCTTTCTAAATTGATTTGGGGAAGGCAGTAGGTTAAAATTGTTTGCAGAGTAAGAATGAACTCCACCTGAAAGAAGGAAGTCCTTAGTATTTTATTCTATCATTTGAGAAGCCCCTGATGCTTCCTTTCCTGGTTTCACGGGAGTGGAGGGATCGTGAGCACCTCCCATTATGTGGGGCCTTAAGTCCTTTCCAAGGGCCCCTTTGCCCCAGAATGTGCTTCAGCTCTAAGGACCAGACGCCTGAGGTAGTAACTGGCTCAGGGTGAGAATCCTGTGACCTTGGTTTTCATCCCCTTACCTGTACAGTCCTGAGAAACGTACACTACCAGGCGGGTGACCTCTGAGCTGCTCTCCACAGCTTTCCTGGAGGTGAGAAGAAAGGACTGAGTTCCTGCATGTTCCCTGTGCTTTCCATGTCCCCAGCAGCAGCCCTCACCTGAGTATATGTGCCACCAGAGACGGCCCATACCAGTCACCCGCCTTCTTGCCTGAGCTTTGCCCAAGCTCCACCAGTCGATGTAGGCCGAAGGGAGCCTGGGGATGGTCAGCGAACCAGGACACAATCTGCCGATGCCGGTGTTCCTGCTCCAGCTCAGGGACACCCTGAGCCCAGCGTGAGGGCATCCAGCGGGCAGGCCCATGGTATCGGTTGGGAGAGGCCAACCCTGATGGTTCAGGGGGGCCTGGGCCTACGCCTTCTGTCCACCTCCAGTCTGGTGGGGATGGAGTACAGAGTCAAATGGGGCCAGTGTGTGGAGGACACGGTTCTGATTTATTCATGTTTTACACACAATTCTAGTGCTTCCAACACCCCTGTGTTTAACTGCAATTCTCACTCCCTACCAAAACTTACTTGACACACAATTCTAACAGGACTTCAAACTCAGTTTACAAACAGTTCTAATACTGCCATCTTGTGTGGTTGGCGCTTCCCACTCCACTGCTCACCTCTGGGTAATAAATGAAGCAGCAGGCCCTGAGCCAGCATCATCTGCCCGCTGCGTAACATACATCCCCAGCCACAGTCTGAGGTCAGGCAGCCCCCAGGAAGGGGCGGGAAGTCCCGGCGATAAGTGAGCCACAGGCGGGACACAAAGTCACTTTGGAAACGTTGGATGTCACCTAGGAAAGTGAGCCTGTCAGCTGCCACCAGGGCCATCCTTGGGGGCCTCCACCAGCCCTTCCCCCAGATATCAACTCACCCTCGCCTTCAAATCGGTAGCGGCGGCCACAGAGATGGACACTGGAGATCTTACTAAAGCTGGTCCGACTTTTGACTGCCCAACCTGTGAAGATGTGGGGGTGCCCAGCGATATGAAGCACTTGCTTGACAGCAATAGCACTTCCGTTTCCCTCTGTGTCCATCCTAGCTCCTGGCTCAGGGAAACTCAGGGAATTTGCCCGTCTCCACATGGAGCAGGGCCCATAGTAATAGCCACAGGAATGCCTGCCATTAATTCAAGAGGAATTAGGACAGTTTTGATTATTGTACTCAGAGGGGGTTGGGGGGAGGCACAAGGAAGCAAAAAACTTTGCCTAAGGTCGCAATGGGAACGGAAGGCACTTGAAAATATACTGCCCGTTGAACCTGCCACTGGTCCACCAAGGGCAGGGCAGGGCGGGGAACCCACCGGTGACTCACGGGAGAATAAATGGTGGAATGCTCGGCAGGGCAGGGTCTGGTTCTCCGACTGCACGGACTTCTACAGCCCTTGACAGGCCGAACCCTTGGCTCGCTCCCACCTCAGAACCTGAGCCCCCGCCCGCCCCCTCCTCACCGTACTTCACGTTGTTCCAGGCAGTCAGGAACTTCGCCTTAAACTTGTCCACTTCGTCCGGCTCTCCCGGAGCGGCCCCGGGCGGGCCAAGAGCGGGGCCGCTGGCTCCCGAGGGCGCCAGGCCGTTGGCGCCCGGGATTCGGGAGCCCCGCGGCCTGCGGCCCTCGGGGCGGCGCGCGTCCTCCGGGCTCCCGCTCCGGTACTGAGCGGCGGCCGGCGACACGGAGTTCATGGACGCGCCGGGAGGGCGGACCGAGGGCCCGGTGGGGGCCGCGCGCGAGCGGCCCAGGGGGCCAGGACGCGGGCGCCGAGGATGGCGCTACTTGGCCCCAGACGCCACGGCCGGGCCCCGGGCCCCGGCTCGGGACACTGTCACCGCCGCCGCCGCCATTTTAGCGGCCCTGGTCGGGGGATGGAGGCGGGCGTGACACGGCCGGACGCCCCGCCCCGGCCCGGCCCCCGAGGCTGGGGCGCCGGCCCTGAACCGCCACGGCCTCCAGGCGTGGTGCCTCCCGCGGCGTCCACGACCCCCACGCCCGCGCGCCGGCTTTATCGCGGAGGCCAGGCGCACCCGATCCCCGGCAGGCCCTTATCAGAGGCCCCGGCGCCAGGAAGCCCCGCCCCTGGACACGCCCCGAGGCGGCCCTTCGGGTAGCCGGGCTGGGGCCTCGGGTAGCCGGGCTGGGGCCTCGGGTAGCCGGGCAGGGGCTTCGGGTAGCCGGGCTGGGGCCTTGGGTAGCCGGGCTGGGGCCTCGGGTAGCCGGGCAGGGGCTTCGGGTAGCCGGGCTGGGGCTCCGGGCGCCGACGAGTTCACCTGCGTCTGCCCGGGACCAGAACGCCTCCGCGGCTGCGGATCCAGAACCTGCCGCGACCGGGCGCCAGACCTGTGTGTAACACCCCCTCCCCATCCCTGCACGCCCGCCACCTGCGACACACCTCTGAGTGCCTCATTTTCCTCAAGAGCCAAGCGAGGCTCAAATACATGCAACAACAGAGACGAATCTTCATAATAATTTTGTTGAGGGAAAAATACACCTTCC